CTGGGCTAATTATCTTAATGTAGTGCTCTGTTTTGAGGAGAGACAGATAATGTAGAGGGTATCTTTAATTAAGTTTAATCAAAATATCTTATTCTTGAATAAAGCTGGCATCTCTAAAACTTGAAACAGAATTAAATATTTTGTGTCCACTATCTGTAAATGTATTTCCTTTGTTTGGTGGAAACTGGATGTCTTTGCATCATTTCTTTAATGAACTGCTTAAACCCTTGCAGAAGACTACTTGATACTTTTCAATTTATGGTAAAAGTAGATATGCAACGACAGACTTAGGGTGCAACCCTGTACACAGCTGAGTGGCAGTAAGCCCCAGTGAACTCAGTGGGATTTGCTTCCAAGTAGGCATGCATTGGTTCACACTGTTAGGCTGTAATCCTGTACTAATTTTCCTGAGAGTGTATGCTCTTGAACTCAATGGAATTTACTTGGGACTGAACTTAAGTTTGTGCATGTATCTGTCCAAACCTTGGTCTCCCCCAGTTTTGCATATAGCAAATGTAACTATTAGAACAAGAGGTTTACAATTTGTGTTCTTGGAGTTTTCAGCCTAGGTGCTTTTCCCCTTAGTAAAGCTCCCATACTGCATATGGGTTGGAGGAAAGAGATAAGGATGAGGGAGAGGCTGTAGGGACATACATGGAGAAAGTTCATTTTCCCTTACCTGTGTACCTCTTTTCTCTAAAAGCATTGAACCTCCATCATCTCTGCTGTAAACATGATTAGGGTAACTTCAACTCTGAACAAATAGAGAAGCTGTTACTGTTAGTGCATCTAGCTTGGCTGTGGGCAGAGCAGTCTTCTGGCCATTAGATAGTGCCTGGACAGTCATCTATTTTAGATGACCCGCTATGAGTTGGGAAATGCCCCTAAGCTCAATGGGGGGATCCCGTGTCCCCAATTCATTTCAGTCAGTGCTGAAACAACTGTGTCGGTTCCTTGTCAGAGGTTACGAGAGGATCCTTGGAGGAGGGGCAATAGGGAACAGGGAGGGACTGGTACCACCAAGATTTGAGATATCCTATTGACACCTCAGCCTTCTTCCATTCTCCTTTGAAGTGCTGCTATGACTGAACTGGCCTTCTGTATGCTTTGCGGAATGAGAGGGTTCTGGGAGCTACCTTTGACTCTGTGCTCCCCCCATCCTGCCCAGGATGCCAATAATACTCTGAGTCCAGAGGATTATGGGTAGCCTCATTAGATTGTGCCCTAACCACAATCATATCCACAACAACCTAAACGTATGTTGCCAAACTGGCAATAGGGAGGAAAACAGAATACAAGGAACCTAGAAGAAACATGAATTAAAATCATTCACTTATATATGGTGAAGAGCCACTGAGGCTGCTCCTGACATTTTATTGTTTATTTAGCTCCTCAGAGTTTAATGGCTGGGCTCTTAGCTTGCTTGCTTTTCTTGTTTGCTTTATGATTGCAGATGTTTTGACTGATAATTTTTAACAATTATTATTTGCTGTTTTACCAGTTTAATTTTTAATAAAAAGAAAGATAAGAAACATTTAAAGTAAACAAAGACATGCACATAGACTTAGTAGCTTGCCTATTCAAACATCTCTACATGAATCATTCGTGGCCTGTGTTCCCTACCTGCACACCTGGAGCAATTCCTCTTCAGCCTAGGCAGCCAGGCAACCAAGCAACCCAGCAAGTGATTATTGGCAAGCGGGACACTTGGTGTGGTTTGATAAGCCACAGTGCTCTGTGGCACACACTGAACAGAACAGGGAAAAATTCATTTTCCTGCCCCATTACGGGAACCTGGCATATCAGTACCAGTGTAATAGCTGACACCAGTCCCAGTGTTTTGCTTTGCTTGTTTTGTTTATTGCTATTAGATATGTGCCACCTGGTAACAAGATTCTCAGAGCAGCTCACACAATTTAATACCATCAACCATAGCAAGAATAAATATTGAAATTATTGTGAAGGATTGAACCCATGTAGTTCAGTTATCCCACAGAAGGGATGATTTGCACCTCTCCTCCATGTAAGGAATTGGGAAGCCCCACCTGACCAGTTTTATTTGTCAGGACTTGTCAGCAGAAAGAACATGGCGCCTCTTCCCCAGAGAAAACAGGATGTCGCCAGCTGGTGCACCCAGATTATCCCTTACCTCAACCAAAACCTATCCATACAATTGGTTGCTTCATCATCTTCCTAATAACTATAATTCTTTTGCTGGTTTGTATGACAGCTGTGTATAAATGGCCTCTCAAAATTCTCTAGCCTACTTATGGACAGAAAAATCTCAGAGATGATGTCACCAAATTTCTCTAGGTATTCTTGAAGTTTATCACAGGTAGGTGACATCTTTGGCAGGCACTGGAGCTCAGCCTCTTTTTTCCTAAGGGTTCTTTTAGGGGTTTGTTGTTCATATTGTTTGTTTGTTTTTCTATGGCACAAAGGAGACTTTACCATAACAAATGGTAAAGAAACTTTGAGAAAAATCCACACATTGGTTTTTTATTTGTAGGCAGTTAAGGAATGAAGAGTCATGGGAAATTGACGAGAAAATATTTTTCTGAGAAATGTCTGCTTCAGTTCTAGTTGTCATTATTCAGAGTTAGCATCTTTCTTGGTGCTTTCCATTGTGAAATTTCTCAGGGCCAAGAGTGGCTATATTTTGTCTTTAATGCAGATGTGTGAAGTACCAATGTTTTGTTCTTGGCTGTGCTAAAGTCTGCCCTCCATTTCTTGAAAGTTTTCTTCTCCCACAAAAGACACTGGACTGACTAGTACTTCCTTATCTCAGGATTCTATCAGCTCATTTTGCTAGTTATCAGGAGCTGTCTGGACTGCATCCATACTCACCCTCTACAAATGGAAGTGCCCCTTAATTTGGAGAAGGAACCAGATTTAACAGAGGCTTTCTGCTGAAAAGAGGTGGCTGCATTGAGTTCTACCAGCCCTCTCCCTCCCTCTGTAATGCCTAGCACCACCCTCTGGTGACACAGGAAACTGCAGCAAGATGGAGGAAACCTTAAAAAGCACTGCTCTGCCCATTTTTGGTAGCACCAGCAGAATGCCACTGATGGCATGGCTAGATCTAATACACCGTGTTTCAAAACTTTTTTTAAAGGTCATATGTCTCTCTGGGATTTAAACTCAGGTAGCACTTCACTGCCATCCCAGGTCATTCTGCTAGAATTCTAGACCAGACCTCAAATACGTATTAGAAATCTAAACAATCCCTCAGTCCAGGTATCACAAGCAACCACTGAATACTGATGTAGGACTGACTCTTGGTTTTTTTTCTTTTCCACATTTTTTTGTGAAAGATGTCAAGCAGAAGCACACTCATCGATCTTTTGGTAATTTTCAGATGTATGTGGAGCTCACACATCTCCCTGCTAGAAAGATATACATTTCTACTTTGCAAATAATACAGAGGGATGTCAGTTCCAATTACTCCCACATTTGGCTATTTAAATTGTATCTTCTTTCTGTGTCAAATACAACAACATCCATGAATTTTGGAAAATTAATATCAAAACCAAAAATGAAATTATCGTGCACATGCAGCAGTCCAATACCTACTTTATTTATTTATTTATTAGAACATTTCTATGCCGCCCCTTGCCGAAGCCTCAGGGCGGCTTACAACACAATAAAATACAATAACATACAAAAATAACAATATAAAATTAAAATTAACAATATAAAATATATAAAAAATATAAAATATAAAATAAGTCGCCCTGGCCAGAAAATATTGTTAACAATTAAAATGACATTTAAATAAAAAGGTCTTCACCTGGCACCGGAAAACAAATAATGATGGCGCCAGGCGGACTTCTCTGGGGAGCGCATTCCATAGATTGGGCGCCATCGCAGAGAAAGCCCTCCTCCGAGTACCCACCCTCCTAATTTCTTTCACGGAGGGTTCCTGGAGAAGGGCCTCTCCCGCAGATCTCAAGGGGCGGTCGAGCATATATGGATGTAAGCGCTCCTTCAGGTAACCAGGACCCAAGCCGTTTAGGTCTTTAAAGGTCATCACCAACACCTTGAATTGGGCCCGGACTTCAATGGGAAGCCAGTGAAGCTGACGGAGGACTGGAGTCATGTGAACATAACGCCCCGTCTCCGTCAGCAACCTGGCAGCTCTATTTTGAACCAATTGAAGTATCTGGACCGTCTTCAAGGGAAGCCCCACGTAAAGCGCGTTACAGAAGTCAAGGCGGGAAGTCACCAGTGCGTGTGTCACCATCGCCAGGCAGTCTCAAGATGGCATACAGAATATAAAATCAGAACAATGAAAATACAATCCATAATTCAATAAATAATAATAAATAGATTATGATAAATACAGTCAGTACTAACAGAATACCATCAAATTAAACCAATAATAAGCAAAAGAGAATAAATCACAATCATAAGAAAAATAAATACATAAAAATAGATAAAATAATAAAATAATATAAAATGTGATTGCTAACTTTAAAAACCTAAAAACTCTAATTCTTAAAATGACATTTAAATAAAAAGGTTTTGACCTGGTGACAAAAAGAATATAGGCTCGGTGCCAGGTGAACCTCTCTGGGGAGTGCATTACTTACTTTTTGTTTCATTTGAATTTGAATTCTTTCCATTCCAGATATGAAGACATCTACAAACTTTTGTTAAATTCTTGACAAAAATGAACTGAAACTAAATTCTTGTCCATGTCTAGTCACACATTTTGTACAGTAAGGACCAGGGGAAGCATAAGTTATTCATTAGTTGGTACATGTTTGTGAACTTTGAGCTATCCTGTAAAATACAGTATTTTAGATATAATAAATGTTGTGTAGCTTTTCAGTCATAATGTTGTCTTATTTCTAATTTGTAGGCACCTTTTTCCTTATGGTGAATTCTGAATCAAGCCTGTATAGAATCGTTACACAATCATTAGTAATCATGTTTCATTTTTTCTGAAATGTTTACTCTGATCAATATTTCCCTTTTCTTCCTCCATTTTTTTCCAGGAGTAACAACTGTGCTAACAATGACAACCCTGAGCATCAGTGCTCGAAATTCCCTGCCCAAAGTAGCCTATGCCACAGCTATGGACTGGTTTATTGCTGTTTGTTATGCATTTGTATTCTCAGCCTTGATAGAATTTGCCACTGTAAATTACTTCACAAAAAGAGGATGGGCGTGGGATGGAAAAAGCGTAGTCAATGATAAGGTGAGTGATAAAGAAACATGTTTAAAGTACCTTCCAATTCTAAGAAATCAATTTTGCAGCATCTACTGTTGATAGCTTTCTATTACTGAAAAATAATTGAAGTCTTAAACCAATATAAAGGCAGAACAGATTAAAGCACGAGTGGATAGGAAGAGAAGCTGACAGTTTGGGTACACATTTCAGCAGAAATTAAATTGTACACACGGAGTCTTTCTCCATCTGTTTCATCTTGAAGAAACAAATATTGTCCCAAGGCTGCCTAGAAATTAAACAATAGCCCATTTATGCCTGTTAAACATCCCAAATAATCTTAGACAGCATTTCATTAACTTCAGCAACTCTTCATGGGAGAATGAATGTAACCAAAGCTACTTTCCTATGAAGAATCATAACCAGGCTTCATGGAACCCAACGTCTCATATTCCAGTCCCATATTTTATGCTGGTATTAAGAAGCATCACAGCAACAGTTAAGAAATTGGATGCTGGGATACCAAAAGTGTTAAATAGCCAAGTTGATTAGAAAGGAAAGAAGGAACTGTACTCTTATACTATAAGGCAGTTGCCATTGGCTTTGCAGGATTTTTTCTGGGAAGGAACAAACATATACATAATTAGCACCAATAAATGGGATTCCTATTTCAGGCAGAACAAATGACTTAACAGTGAGTAATCAATCAGACTTGCAGAGCTGGCTTTCAAGAAACTTTTGTACTGGGTCTGCTCTTGCACCATTTCTCAATAACTAGACCTTGTCCCCATTACTAGGCAGGGTGTGAAGTTCAGCTGACTTCTTTCCACCCATGACCAAAACACTTAGACCTTTCCTTGGATCTCTTCCACTGCTCCTGTAACTGTAAGCTACTACATCAACTTCACAGCCTGACCTACACATAACAACACTGAACTACCCTGTAGGAATTTCATATGCTATATTCCTTCCCCCAGCAATATGGGCAGAATAATGTGCTATTGTGCATGCCTGGTACAACCCATCGTCTCTCAGCCGTACTCCCACCTCCTGCAATATGAATTTAACAGTAATGGCCTGGATCTGCACAGGCATTGCCAGGGTATTTTTTTAAATGTTTGTTTACAAACTCATGAAAAACTTTTTGTTAGGTATGAAATAGGATGCTAGTCATGAACTCATTCCTGTACTGATGCAATACTGTTCAGTGACCAGTGCAGCAGAATGCTGGACTTTTGCATTTTTATTCTGTAAGGCAGGCATCACTTTCCACCAGGGAAGAGTCCCCCACACCCTTTTCCACACCCAGCCTAAAAATGAGACAGGTTGTTATTTTACCAGGCAGGGGGGCCAGTCTAGTTTCTTTCAAAATGTAAGAGTAGAATAATAGTTGCACATTTTACTTCATTGCTTGGGGTTCCACAAAAGCTCAACACTTGCATGTTTTAAAATGAAATGTAGGTGGCTGGGATTCTGGCTTATCTGGGGGAGGCAATTACCTGCTTGTACCCAGAGCAGATTCTTACAGCAGCAGCAAAGTCTAATTAAAGCTGACTTAAGAGTCTTGCTCCAGCTTTCCTTCTGGAACTTTGCATTTCACAGATCTACACACTGAGCAATATCCAGCGGTATAATTCGTTTAGTGCACATGATGTTGCATTTGTGGAAACGGGGCTTTGAGCTCTGCACAAGAGAATAATCCAACTAGAGTTTTCTTTGTGCAGATGTGGTTGCTCAAGTGGCTGTGCGTTCCACTTGTGAAATTCATTGCACATGAGTGATGAGCAACTGCTTGGACAATAAGAAGATTCAGTGGTGCTCTGCTAGCGCTGTTTGAGTTTGCAGAATGACACTGTTGGATATTGCCAGTCATGAGGATCTTCTGCATCCCTGCCTGAATAATAGGCCACTTTTCCTTGTCTGGTAAAAAGAGAACTATTTATTGATGCTCTTTGTTTCCTGCCCTTCCTCCAAGAAGGAGAGCAATGCATTGTGTATGTCCTTGCATTTTCTGTCACTGTAAGCCTGTGGGACAGAAATGGTGGCCTATGGTTCATTCATCCACTTCATGACTTTAAGGTGAGTCCCTCTGATCCAAGTCTCCACATCCTAGAGACAATCTGGTAACCATCCTAGAGGCAATCTGGTAACCACAAAGCCAGGAACAGTTGACATTTTTTGGCCACTTTCTGTAACATGTTAGTCATGCAGAGAGAATCTTCAAATTTCTTATTTCATAGACACTGCAGCACTTTAATGTTTGAAGGTGCAAATGTGACATTTATTCTGTCCAGTCAGACCTCTTCTTTCAAACAATCCAGTGGCAAAATGTTGCCTGTAATTTTATTGGTCCAAGAGTGAAGATTGGTCTGATTAAAGCTGTTTTATATATGATAGACTAAGGACATTAACCATTGTGTGTGAATGTGTCTACTTCACATTGTGTGTATCCATTGGACATTCTTTGGGAGCTCTGTATTCATTGACAGCTCCTGCTGGGTCTAGGCTTCTAGCTAGTCTCACAATGTTTAATGGTGCCTTCTCCCAGGTAAGCATGTTTTCCTCAGTGAATTATCTATTTGTATTCCACTCTTTCCCCCAAGGAACTGGGTACCCCGTAAGGAATGTTACAAAGAGTTGGGAAGTAGTGCAAGTCACCCAGAAAGTAACATACCTAACCGTGGATTTGAACCTGGCACTTGCCTGGAATAGAGCTGTGTAGCTGTTTGGAATATCTGCACTCTGACATTCCATTAGCTTGGGTTGAAGTGAACAGCTCTGTTGTGACAAGTGCAATTTCATCAAGACAGGAGACAAAACCATCCTTTTTTTATCTAGTTTTGAAAGCAGATAAAATGAACGAGGATGACCAATCTTTCTTACAGATCCAGAAACTCAGATGGTTGGTACCTTCTATCAGGGGGATATGGAAGGTCCTTGGGGCTGTCTGCATCCTTCATATTGCCTTATGGCTCCCACAAGACCTGTCTCTTCTCCATGCTACTATAACTGTGGTTAATTTCACATGATTGTTCTTAAGAGTTGAAGGCTATATTGCTAAAAGCATTCATTCACTTATTTGTTTAGAGAGCATTAAAAGAAACATAGCATCTATAATATTGAATCATATACCCTCTTTTAACAGAAAAAAGAAAAGGCATCTGTCCTTAAGAAAAACAATGCCTATGCAGTGGCGGTCGCCAATTATGCCCCCAGTATCACCAAGGACTCAGTTCTCCCAACAATTTCCAAGAGTGCCACCACTACAGAACCCAACAAAGCAAAGCCAGATGCCAAGCCACAGGAAGCAAAGAAAACATTCAACAGTGTTAGTAAAATCGACAGGATGTCAAGAATAGTTTTTCCAGTCTTATTTGGTACTTTCAACTTGGTATACTGGGCAACATATTTAAACAGGGAACCTGTCTTACATGGTTTTGCTCCAGCACACTAAAACCTTAATTTTTTTGCTGAGGGTGTATAACATCATTGTAATCAGATGATTTTCCTATGTACAGTACGACTAATAACTGCTAATCTGTGAACCAATATGTACAGAATGTATATAGGTATCATGTCCGTTTATCTCCAAAGGAGGTGCACAGAATTTATTCATGGGATCTGTAAACAGATGGCACCCATGGGAAATATAGTCTGCTCTCCTATCCATGTGAGTTCTCCTAAACTTGGATTCAATTAAGCTGAATTATATCCATACAACTGAATATGGTCCTGCATAACTATTTAGTAACACTATTTTTTTAATTTAAAGTTTAAGATATTTTTCTATAAAATGACTGATTCTACTTTAATGCAAAGAAGTTATCCTTTGAAAGAGAAAGATTTTTTAAACAAAGTGATCTTAATAATTTCTTACGGTAGCAGTGCCCATGTAAATATTATAGATGCGTGGTATGCTCAAGTATTCTCTTATTAGCAACCATTCTGAATGCAAGTTACGTGTAAAAGATACTGGAGTGTCAGGGTTAATAATTTCCTACTTTAGGCCAAGCGTTCAAGTTGCGCACTATAGTTGGTGCTCTGTTACTTGAGCAACAGGACAGGCTTGTGGGGGAGGGGGATCCTTTGACAATGCAAAGAAAGAACAGCTTCCACACTGGCACAGGAGCCCATGTTGCTGGGCAAGCAGCTGTTTGGCCATTGCACAACCACGTGTGCAATGCTGGAAGATAGAGGCATTGAGATCCAGGGAAGGCACCGCAGGACTCTCTTGGAAACTGACAACATGCATAGAAAACCGCTGTGCCACACCAAAGTAAACACAGACACCTGCTCACTTATGATTGGTCAACAATATGAATCAAGTCCTTTAACCAGTCTTCTTCCTCTATCAGTCCACAAAACATTGTGGGTTGTGCAGTCTTCTCTCAAGCATAAGAAAAGCATGGAATGAGTAGAAATTGTACTGAAGCCAAACAGAGGAGCTGTGTTGATTAATAACAAAAGTGAATAACAAAGATTTCATACATTCCCTTCTTGGCTCGTTGAAGATGTTTTCTATAGCCAGTTTCATGTGAACCCTTTCACAAGGTGTTATTGGAATAAATTGTCTCCTGGAAAAAGTCTGGGTAGGTATAGAGAGAAAGGGTTGTTGAGCAACTGGAACAAAACTGTCAAGATAGCATGTTGTCTTTGCTGCAGCATCACAAATTAACTTACTTGCAAATGAACATTGAGGATTAGGGGTGTAAATATTGAGTGGTGAGATGATTTTTTTTTCCTTTAAATGAGTTATGCAGTATGAGAGCCACCCTACTTTTAAAGTAGGAGCTCTTGAAGTATTATAAATCTGGACTTTTCAAGTGGACAGTCGTAGTGATGGTTTGTATTTACATAATTTCATAACTATGCTCTTGGAGCGGTTGCAGCTGAACGTACAAACTGACCTCTGAAAAGCCTAGGTTGGATTCAAAGATGCCCTTCCATATGCAGAAGATGTTTTCTGTTCATGGAAGGGTTCATTTACATTTCATGCTAGAGCATTGTGTGAGAAAAGTGAAACTAAACCCAAAGACGTTCTTGCATTTTTTGCAATTTCTTGTGCAATGCCTGCTATAGCACTGTGCGAATGCCTGCACAACGCATGTTACAGATCAATTCAAGGGAGTGTGTTCCGACAAAGTTCCTTCTGTGTACTTTGGATCCAATCCATACATTTCAGGTGAGAGGAAGAATGCTTTACAGCTGTGGTCTTACATTTTTGATGATGACCCATTCACATAAGAAAGCCATTCCTTCCAGATATGAACAAGTTCATGAACACTCCTGATTCATATAAGTATAATTTTCAGAAATGGGATGGTTCCTATGAGAAAGTCCAGAAACTAGAGACAGATGGACAGAGGTTTTGTGAATGGATCATCAATCATATGGACAGTTTGCAGCCCCAGATCCCTTGAAGGGCAACATTCCAGATTCTTGGTTGCAGGTTTACAGGATTATCTTGCAGCAAATTGTACATCGTAGCCATTTACAAGTCAGTTTGCAGGATTAGTACAGTCCTGTGAATTGCTACTTTTATAACTTCCAGAAGAAATGCCAAATGTCCAAAACAAATTTTCAGATATTATTCAGGGTTAGGTATATTGGTAGTATAAGATTTCTGTGTACAAAATTTTCTCAAGTACAGTTCCCATGAAATCTGCCTTAAGGGCAGGGGTCTCAAACTCACGGCCCGCGGGCCAATTGCCAGGATGGGTGGGGCACGGGGGAGGGGCCCTGCGGCCTTCAAAGTGCCAGCGGCGCCCGGGCCGGCCTCCGGGAGCAACGCGGGATGAGCGGCCCACCACCACCGCGGTGGTGGAATACTTGATGCGGCCCAGCCTCACCCAGACTCTACTTCCAGCGGCCCCCAGGTAAGCTGAGTTTGATACCCCTGCTTAAGGGCATCTTCATACTGTTCATGTATCCATAGCAGCCACTGGAAAGAGTTCTTTTATTTCAGTTCCATGAGGCTGCCCTCACAATTAATAAGTATTATTGCTGCTTTTGTAAATTGCAACTTTATATTTTGCTGCCATGACTTTAAAACAACTTTATATATTATAAATGATTTTGCTAAAGATTTGACCTTTTTTAAAAAAAGAAAATAAAGTTCAGTGTTTCATCAGTACTGAAATGCAAAATGGAAACAAAATTGGAGCCTCTACGTGCAATTTTTGTACAATATTTAATACCGATCCATTCACAATTTCTCATGGAATCTTTGCTAATATTCCTTGTGACCCCAAAGGCCCTGTAAATTTTATCACCACAAATAATTATGTACTGTATTTAGATTTAAATAGTGTATTTGGCCAAGCAAAAGTATTTTGATTCACATACATATTAGCAGTTATTAGTTGACCTTTTAAGAAAAGATCCGCCTTTATGATGGTGTCTTTATAGTAGAAACCTATGTAGTCGTACAGTGCCATCTATTGCAGTTTTGTACAGTACTTGAGTATAGTGCATAAACTAGATATTACAAAGTTTAACAACACTGTATAAATATTTCTAAAACAAATTTAACGTTACCTTAAGATGTGGAAACTCAAACTTACACAAAATCAGACAATGGCTGGGTTTGCACATACCACTATCCTATGGAATGGGTCGTTGAATTGTGTGTTGTTGAGATATATGAACATGGCCACAATAACAAGCTATGGTTTGTTAACCACAAGCAATGCGAAAAAAAGAGCCTATGGTTTATTATTGGGTTTTGGACTCTGGATTATTTAAACCATGGGTGGTTGTTATGTGTGAACCCAGAACTGTTGAGTTGTTCATGGGTTGTTTGGCCAGGCAACAGAGGTGGTAGGCAAGAGTGGTAAAAATCCCAGCCACTCTACTTGCTAGTACTACCATATTTGCAAAGGCACTTGGGATGCAGAAAAGGAGTAGGCAGGATAAGGGAAACAGCCCATGGATTGAGAAAGCAAACTACAGTTTGTGTGCCAAACAAACCATGGTTAGGGCAACAAACCATGGGTTAACCATCAGTTAAGGGTGCAGCCATATGCGTGTTTAGGCAGAAACAGTCCTACACCAACTAGAATGCATTCTGGGAGTTGTATAACTCTTTACTCCCTAAACATGCATAACATTGTGTCCTGAATAAACCATAGGTTAGCATTATGAACCAGGTCAGTATTTTCATTTGCTGATTTATTTAGTTTTTCTGTTTTCATTCAGTGTTATTTTGGTCTTTGCTCTGCATGAAAAATATTGCTGGCAAGGTCACAAATGTATTTAAATGGTGATAGCATTGAGGTAAGATGGATATTCTGGCATTAAATCAAGTAAGGTATTTTTACTTAAGGCAAGGCAAGGCACTTTATTTGAAACATGAATATAGAAAATCCTTATTTTCATATCTATTTATATATAATGTAGATCTGTGTAATACAGAAATGTGTGCAATAGTATGATAAAGTTGTATAAGGTTTGAAGGTGAGCAATAAAAAAGTTCTTCATCATATGGTTATACATATCTAAAAATGTTTTATTTGTAAATTATAAATTTACCCTTTAATGCTACACTGTCCAGGTACAAATAAATATATAAATATGTATATATGTAAAGCACTTGTAAATACCAATAATGTAAAAAAAACAAAACAAAAACAAAACAAAACCCTTCAATTTTATCTTTGTTTTTGGCAAAGGGCTCTGACAGCATAAGTTTAATGCATCACAAAGCCCATCTCATTGGCTTTGACTTGTCCAGTTCAATTGTTACATTCTGGGGAGAATTCTCAACCTGTATTAATCTTGCATGCATGCAAGTATATTGCTACTTTTGAGGAAGGAAAATAACCTATACCACATCGCATTGGTAATGACATCTCTTTTTTTTCTGACTACCCAATTTTAAAGGGATGGATCAGATGGTGAGGGAGATAATGTAGTTAAGTAATATAATACAATCCAGAGCATGTATTACTTTCTTCCCACTGTGAAAGACACTTGAAATCAGGAGATTAATTATGGGTTGTGCGATCCCCCAGGAGAGTAATACTTGAACCTTTGCTTCTGGTGTGTGGTGTTGGCTCTTTCATTGCAAACTGATTTGTGCTTTCATCTCTTATTAACTTCTATGGGAGTTGACAGTCTCGGCACTGCACATGATCGGTCCTTTAGCTAATGACGAAGACAACTGTATTTTATATCCTAGGTAGCTTCTCAGAGTTGCAAGTGATTTTGGTGGACAGCTAGCACATTTCACTTGTAAACAATATAAAATAGTACTTGCTTTCTAGAAATGAAGGAAGTGATAAGTTTAGAGTTCTGTTTGGTTAAGCTGTAGGATACTTGTTCTTAAGAACAATAGACACATTCAGAAAATATTGCTTGCACCTTTCAGGAACTTGCTTACATTCTTCCTTCCAATCTGTGTAATATGTGTGCATAATTGAATTCCTGCACATGAGTCTATCTTAGCTCCACCGA